CATTAAAGAAGATGCTGGTTTTTTAAGTATACTATAATATTCAGTTTATTACCATTATTTATTTAGTTTTTGTAGACACCGTTCACAAATGCGAAGGCTACTAAGAGCTCTAAAAGAAATCAAACATGCAAGGATAACTATTTAGGATACCTAAGAGCAGAATATAATAATTATAGGGAATCTAATTCTAAGTGGAGCTCCATAGAGCATAGAGCTTAATTTACGAAATTCTTTGTCTCTCTAGTTGTTAAAGGAAAATGATTTCAAAAGAGGTAAGTATATGTTTATGACATTAATGGCTTTTGAAATCCATCATGCATGATATGTAGGGCCAGGAGCGCATTTCATCCTCCAAAAAACAGAAGTACTTATCATCGTCTTGTAGTTGGTGTTGTTCTAGTCAATAATTCTTTTTTCACACGATAAAAGGAATAAAGGATTCTGCGCTATCAATATCACTATCGATCAATAATTGGTTAAGCTTTTTGAGAGCGGTTAAATAGTGCAGCTCCTGGACCATCAGTAGAACCGAAAAAACATGAGAAAGCAGCCGAAAGTATAAGTTTCACTTTTTTTTCTCCATACAATTGTACATACATATTTTGAAAATCCCATCCCGAAATAATTTTCTGTATCCGCCCCTGACTGGATTGTCTTTCTTGGACGCCCAGAATCCATTATCCTACTCAGATCACCAGTTTCAACCCACTTTTAGTTTAATTTTTGAATCGCGCCTGCAATTCATTTCATCAATTAGTTTCATCTGCTACGCGTTATTCATACATCCAATTTTTGCGATTAAATAGCTTTTTCTGCTCCACTTAAGTAATAAGAAGGGGCAAGTGAGGGAATATCGACTACTTAGCGCTATTAAAAATTTCAAGTAGTATCTTTGTTAAAAGATAGTTAAAACGGGAAAATTGCTTGGTTACTTCATTAGTTTTTTGTATTGGTTTTGCAAACAAGCTAATGTTTTTTTTAAATGTACGTTTAAAAAACAAAGGAAAAAAATGGGGTAATTTCGACCGGTAGGACAATATCGACCATGATAAAGGACAAAATCGACCAAGCAGTAATATTTTGAAATATACTTTTAACATTAATTTCATCGAGCGTAGGTTACAAATACACTGACGCTTTTTCAGCGCTATTACAGTCAGCATGGAACCAACTTGCTCAAGAAAGGAACCGCCACCAAACGTCATTATTATCTCCAAATTATTCACAAATGGTGCAGATTTAATAAATATCTTTTTTCTTTGTTCAAACTGGAGTTTTCTCTTTACCTGTAGTTTTTCATGTAACATTTTTAAATTTTTCATTTTTCTCCTTTCTTGTAATCGATCAGCGTGACCAATTTTACCCGAACCAATACAATTTTATCTTAATTTTGTTTACAAAAAATATACATTAAAATGTAACAGATTAAACCTAAATTATGGGAAAATATCGGCTGTATCCTAGGAACGTAAAATGTATGGTACAAGAAACCACCACTCCATCAGACCTAAGCTTAAGTTTTGTAAGTGTAAAAAATGTCTGCTCGCCAAATAAAAATCTGTAAAAACAATGCTAAAAAAACCTGTAAATCCAATATAGTATGTGCTTAAAAAAATTTATGAAGGATGAAGGATAGTAAGATTTATTTTAAAAACAATTAAATAGCAGTAGTTTTGTACTTTTGAATACACAGATTGTCTGTGATATATAAATAAAAAAAATAATTTAGGTTAATGTTTTAGGTCAATATTTTTGTTTGTTTTGTAGCTTGTATTTGTTCCATTTACTTTAAAGATAATACATAGAAACAAACATACAAACTACCCATAAAAGAGTCTTTAAAAGTGGATATGGTTTCAACTTTACACTTATCAGCTGATCTATTAAAAGAGAAATCAAGTACTTTGTTAAAAATTAAAATAAAATTGAGAAAACAATATAAATCATAGTTCCTTTTACAGTGTCCAAGAAATTGGACAAAAACAGGAAGCATAATAATATTATGATCGTTGAAGACAGCCCGTAACAGAAATATAAACTCTAAGAAAGTACTACAGTGTTAAAATAAAATTTGAAAAACAAAATTAGTCAAAATTAAATCTTTCTTTTTGAATTGTGCAGAAAATGTGCCGAGACAAGGAAGCCAATGATCTTCAAGGACAGTCCATAGCAGAAAATCAAACTGCAGCATACTGCTGATAATAAAATGGCCTGGGATTAAAACATCCCAAAAGCTTAAGAAAACCAGCTATACCATACCGTAATATAATATTTTTCACAAGTTTAGTTTGTATTATTCAATGTTGGCTCCATGGTGGCGAATTTAGGGTTTTTATTTGGCAACTAAATCTAAATTGCAATAATTTGTTAATACAATTTTGTAATAAATAAATTTAGAAAAAACACAGGACTAGTGATCACTAGTAGTGATAGCACCATACTAAACGTATAAAAAAGCACATTATGATCTGTTAGCCGGTCGGAACAGAAACTAATGTATGGTGCCAAGTTTATAAGATGTGAAGGTCGATTCTTCCCGACGTTCGACATTCCCCCAATAAGTAAGTACTTAATAAATTGACTTTAAGTAAGTAGGTAATAAATTTACTAAAAAGACGACTACTTGATTTGATAATGTTATGAGATAAATCACTGATGAAAATCATATTTACAACGGGAAACTAGGCTGATTTTTTATTCGGCCGAAATAGTACCACCCGAAATTTAAATATGCCATAGGAAGTAGATTTTTGTTGCTTCTAAAAATAATGGTTTTACTTTAATGGTGAAACGAAAAATGTAATTTTAAACTCCAAAATTGAATGCACCTCCCGGGCCTAACAATAAAACGACTTCCTGTATATCAATACTTGTTTCGTATACCCCATCGATACATATGTAAATTATGTTAAAATATCCATTAATGGTTCATTAGGCATTCAGTTTATTATACTTAACACACAACTAAACATATTCCGAAAGGAGCTTATAAACTTTGCGCGGCGCGTGTGTATTTTATTTTAACTTCGCGGTAATTACAACAAACCGAGAGCCCGTTTAACATTTCGCATTGACACCAGAAATGTTCAGTGTTTCTTGGAAATTGCCGATACGATGATATAAATCATTATGCACAAGTCACCGGTTAAATAGAGCACAATATTCATGACTTTCCGGCTCCTTAATTAGCTTTTGTTATTATGCTGTGTGACGTTAAACAATTTTTACCAGAATAAAAACAATTTTATTTAAATTTTAATTAAAAAGTATTTTGGTTCTCGCTAACTTTAAACAATTGGATTGCCATCTTGTTCAAGCATGATAACAATGATTATTTTGATAAAACATGTTGCACCACCCATCTTCCTGTTTATGTACTAATCCTTTAGAAACCTTATTTGGCACTCCACCACATTATTCCTCTTTTAAAAACAACTACTTTTGAATAAAGCTTTGACTGCTTTCTATCCAAGACATTTAATACAGTTTAGCCAATTCTAGCTCCTTGTTAAGGAGATCATCTGCAAAAGGCTTTGGCGATATTTTTGGTAACTTCGGCATTCAATATATGGTATTTTCATTTTGTTTTTTTATCTGGAATGATACATTCAGTTTAATTTGCTATAAAACATTCAAAATACATTTTTCTTGTTTTGGATAATGCATGAATTCTGCTTCTATTATATTTTTAGAAAGATATTTGTCCATGTTATATTAAACAAATATTAGAAATATTCCCCAACGTCAAAACAAAACACAAAGTGCCTAAAGTACATTTCGCCAACGATGTTGTGTGTAACTAAATCTAACTGCTAAATCTACCATATTTATACTAATTACAAGCTAAGGTTGACTGAACCGTAAACGGACACAGTTTACTAAACCGTGGACCGTAACCGCTTCAGTGGACATGTAAAAAGAAACTAACAAACTAATTTATACAAAATAGAGTTGGGTACCGGTCTGTTATCGCTATTTAAAGATTTATTTCCATTCTTATAGATGTATAAACTGTAGATGTATCTAGCAGACTTGGTTCCCTAACTTCCCTAAGTTTAAGGTTGTCAAATCCTATTATATGACCATCATCAATTATACTTCGATTTCTGTGTCTTACCATTCCTAGCATGGGCCAAGTGCTCTTTGAACCTTACTTGGATGGATCGTTTGTCCAACATATTTCTTGTCACAATCTTGACATTTTATTTCGTAGATCCCCGACTTTTCAATTTTAGGAATCTTATCTTTTGGGTTGTCTAAAAGGGTCTGAAGTGTGTTACTGCTTGAATTTAAAGCAATTTTGAAGACCAGTTTTTGAAAAAATCTCTTCCAGACCTCGAGTGTACTGGGGTTCGAAAGGAATGGTCATAAACTTGACTTTTGAGGTTAACCTAGAAAGGCGAGACTTAAATTTTATTTTATTTACCAACTTATCTACTAGGGTGGTTTCAAAACCATTGTCTCTAGCAATGTCTTTTATAAAACTAAGCTCTTTCTTGTATCTACTGTTTCTAATTGGAAAGTTTACCAACCTACGGACAAGAAAGTTAAAACTAGCCTGCTTATGTTGTGTGCAGTGCTTGTAGGTTTTCTGTAGATATTGAACTCTAGAGTATTATTAGATCTAATTACCAGGGTATCTTTAAATGGTAGCTGGCCATCTTTTTCCAATTCAAAGGTGAATTTAATAGAGGGAATACAATTATTCAATTTGGAAACAAAATCATCTAAGCTGCAAGCGTTTTGATTGAATATGTTATATCAAGTCTATGTAATGTAGTTTTGGTTGGTATTTGTAAATTTTGTAATAGCTTTGTGAAAAACCTTGATTTTTTTGCAGGATTCGATAACTTCTTTTGATGATATGTGTTTCAAAAAGTCACCTATCAATAGAGCATAATATTCACGACTTTTTGATTAATTAGCTAGATAATAATCTAGATTTTATTATTATTTAATGAGACGTTAAACAATTTTTTATTGATTAAAAACTATTTTATTCAAATTTTCATCCATACAACAAAAAGTATTTCGGTCGTCTCTAACCTTGGATTGCCATCTTGTTCAAGCAGCTTCACCCATGATAACAATGATTCTTTTGTTGGATTCCCAATGGAGCATGTTGCAAAAATGGTCCCATCTTCTTGAACATGCACTGATCCTTCCGGGTCGTCCTTAAAAGGATAACTGGGTCCTTTTACATCCTTATTGGGTACTCCTTTAAGGATAAAGTACTCCACCACCTTCTCCCTCAAACGAGTTCTATGCGGTCCCGTAATGTAAACATTTTCATTATACCCATTAAGCAACTTTTTTTGCAAGCAACTCTGACTGCTTACTATCCAAGATGTTTTGTCTTTACCAATCTCCACGACTTTATATTCAGTTATCTTACTCTTCCCATCTACATTCGATACTCTGTTTAAAGCAAGTTTAGCTAAGTCTAGCTCGTTGTCAGGGAGTTCATTAGGTAAAGGCCATGGGGATATTTTTTGAAACTTCGGCATCCAATATAACATTCTATGGTATTTTCTTAAAGGAAAACCATATTGTCCGAATACCTCCCTCAATATAACCCCTGTTTCTTTATCTGGAATGACCCCATTCAGCTCCATTTGCTCCAGAACATCCAAAATGCATTCTTGTTGTCTCGGATAATGCATGAATTCGGCTTGAATTATATTTTCAGGCAAATATTTACCTTTTGGCAATATTTCAATCAAAGATTTGTAAGCTTCCAATTTTCTGGATACTTTGAATTTGTCCATGTTATTTAATGCGGCGTAAATAAAATCTATGTAATGATTTGGCTCTTTGTTGGATTTTTTAAAATTTTGTATGGCTTCGTGAAACCCATCCTGATTCTTTGCAGGAATCGATTCAAAAACTTCTGTTGATGATAAACATTTCGATAAGGGTGCTATTAATGGTTTTCTTTGTAGCAAAAATTTGGAAAATAAAAACATATTTACAGGAAACAATTACAAGAATTTTTACCCAAACATATACATAGAATTTGACAACGTCAAAAATGTAGGTTTGGTTGGCAATAAAATAAAACTAACTATATGTTTCCATCTAAATAATTGAATATTTAGCAATAATGCACGAAACATTAAAAATGTATTTACTTCAAGCGCTTATTTTTCCATAATTATTTTGTTTAAATATTTAATACACTCGGTTAGTAAAATAAAAGATTAAATAATTGATCATTATCAAAATTATTATTTCATGTTGTGTCTAATCGATTCATTTTAAACTATTTAAAAATGCATTTTGGAATAAATAAATTATATTCTAAAATCAATGAAATTCATAAAAGGTATCTTTAATCAAAGTAATTAAATTTGTTATTTTTCTTCTACTTCAATTCCAAACAAGCTAGCAATTAAGTCTACATTGACACGATACATTTTTAACAGTATTTGTTCAGGGCAAAAATAACTTTAATAATGAGATTTTCGTAAACAGCTATCGATTTGTCTGTAAAAATAATACACAAGTAGGTAAATAATACAATTTTTGATTTGCCCCATAATTTATGGCTTTGTACTTATAATGAAATAATTGTAACTTATCTATCTTGTTTTGAATATTTGAAAATTAGGGTCAAAGAGGTCGAAATTTATCGAATTTCGAAACATATTTATGTTTAAAATGCCCTTGTTTATTGTAATCTAAGCAATAAGTCTAAAATTAAAATGTTTAGAGAAACTTTTTGGATGTTTTTTCCTCTTAAAATAGTAAAAATATTTGTATTTTATTTTTTAGGTTTATTAGGTTGTCATTTTTAGGTTTAGGTTGTGGACGAAAATCTCTCCCTTAGGTTAGGAATCGAAAATTTTAGTATGTTAACCCTTTGATTCTCAGACCCAAGAAAAAAAGTAGCCCTTTAAGTACCACCGGTACCAGCAAAATTGAATGCTGTTTTAATTAAACTATTGCAATTTCCTCCCAACGGTTTATTTAAGTACCGCCATTTTGTTTTATATAAAATATATAAATATAGTTATTTTATTGGCTCCCTAGTAATAATAATAGTACATTGATTGCACATCTAATACAAAAATATTAATTTAATGAAAAATATTGTTATGGGATTTCAAGAGGTTACGGTGTTCTGGTACTCTTATGTACCCGTGGGAGTCAAAGGGTTAAGACATTAGATATCAGACATTAAATATTACTTTTTTACATAAACAATTAAAAAAGAAATTAAAATATATTGTCAAAAGGTCACATTTTTTCAATGAGAAGTTCGGAAGTATGTGATTTTTTGCCAATCTAGCTGATACAAAATCATGGGTAGTAATAGTATATTACACTACAAGGGCAGAAAGTGTGAGATTCCTGCACTGCGCGCCATGATGCCCGAGGCGAAGCCGAGGGCATCATGGCGCGCAGTTCAGGGCTCTCACACTTTCTGCCCGTGTAGTGTATACTATTTTTCTTGCTACCCCGCAGAAAATACGGGAAAAAATTAAATGTATATAAAAAACTTGTGTCAAAATTAAAATCTGACGTTTAATTTAATTCTGACGTTTACATTCAAAATCAATCAAACTGTAGCGTTGTCATGGTAATTCAGCGGTGCCAATACAGTAAAAATAAAAGGTTGTATTTTAATTAACAAATTACTACTTTATAACAAATAAAAGTACCATTAAACACTTAAAACAACATAAAAAGTAAAAAAGTAAAAACATAAATTGTTTATTTGTTGTTATAATTGCAAAATTATGGTTTAAAACTGTCATATTTTTGTGTTTCTCATGTTGGCAGTACGAAATTTGAATGTTAAGCACGCGACTAAAAAATTTTTACTCCCGCTATTAGAGTGTGCGCGTATAGCTTGACCAATGCAAGAAACGTAAACTTTCTGCCGTGAAATCGGGGACGAAACAACGTATTTTGAGTCGAGGTAGTAAGAAAAATTATTTTTGTTTACTATATTTATTTAATATATCGTGTATCGTCTCTTGTGTTGAGGTTTCTTGGACGTTTTTCTATTTCAATGGCTTCAGGTACGTTTGGTGTTCCTGGCTAGCCAAGACCCTTGTTTTTTCAAAGTTCAAGTTTTTTGGACGTGTTCAGCTAAGGAAGATGTTTTTTCTTGTTACGATCTTCTTCGCGTCGAACGTTGATACGTCTAATGGTCTGTCCCACGTAGCTTTCGTCACAATTCTTACAAGGAATTTCGTAAACCCCTTGTGTCTCCAACTCTATTTTTTGTTTGGCGTTTGGAAGTATTTGACCGATCATTCTTGTTATGTTTTTTGAGAACTTTGCCTATTCTTTCGGTTGTCCCTTTGACGTAGGAAAGAAAGGCCTTAAAATTTTATTTCAATTTCTAAAATCAGCAGTTCATTTTAAACAACAAATCATAATCTTTATTTTGAAATAACCTAAATTAAAAATAACACTAAAAAATAATGTACAACAGAGATTAAAAATAAAACTACAAAAATTATTTTTTAACAGAAAACTTGTTCGATAAAAAAAACTATACAGTGTGCATCGGCCAAATGGAATAAATTCGAAAATACATAAAAAACCTACTCCAAAAAACGCTCGGAAAAGTCGATTGGTATTTTCAGTTTTTTTCATCAAAAAAATTTTGTACAGGGTGTGTCATGTAGCAGAGGCCAATACCAACTTTCTTATTTCAAATGCAACATCCATTATGTTATTGAATTTTTGGATTCTTCTAAAAATTGTAGACATATTTTTAAATTTTTGTACAATGTGAAAATATGAAATACATAGCTATTTATATTGGTTTTGATAATATAATATTTCAACAAAAGATTTATCAAAAAATAACATTTTTTAGTATTTAATATTTTGTCTACCCAGTGCTGGATTAACCTATGGGTCAACCTAGGCCATGGCCTAGGGCGCCGCGAATCCTATTATAGGCGCCCATGCAGAAGGCTCAATTTTTTTAAGTAGGTTGAATATTAAAATTAATCAATTAAACGTGGAGGCCTTTCTGCAGAAGATAAATAACCCACAAAATTAAAAAAAATCGGGATATATGGGTTATCTCGATTTTTTGTTATTTCTGTGGGTTGGTTCCCTTGTGCAGAAAGGCTTCCAGGTGAGGAAATGTTATAGGTAAAGTTCTGGTTTAGGTTATTTAAAAATTGTAAAAATCAAGTTACTTCTTCATTGTTTTGTTTTTCTATATAAAAATAAATTAATTTTTTATTAATTTTATTGTAATTTTTTATATAAGCATTACTTGTCCCCCCGTATTAATAGCATATACGAGGTGTGTTCAGAAAATAACGGGAATTGTTAAATTTCGCGGGTTCGGTTGTCATAAAATTTTCTTTATTATGTTGGTATACATGCCCCCGAAGTATGATAAAAACTTTAGGTGTTTTCATCGTTTACTTTGTCTATGGCAGCCGCTAAGGTTAGACGTGTTTTATGAGCTCGGCGATTTTCGTTCGTTAAAAGAAAAGTATCAAAGAAATTTGTATCCAATTTTGCTTAAAAAATGAAATAAATTCTGTAAAATGTTAACAAAGGCCTATAGTGAGTCTGCTATAAGTAGAACAAGAGTTTACAAGTGGTATAAGAGTTTCCAAGATGGCCGTGAAGACGTTGAAGATGACGAACGCCCCGAACGCCCAAGCACATTAACAACCGATAAAAACATGAAAAAAGTGAAAGAAATGGTTATAAACCATCAGAGAAGTCGCTGATAATGTTGGTATATCGATTGGCTCATCTCATAATTTTTTTTTTGAATTTTTTGGGTACAACGCGTGGCAGAAAAAATTGTTAAGTTTTAAACAAAATTTTTGTCCAAAAACCATACTGTAATGATGCCCCAGCCTCCATATTCGCCAGACATGCCTCTGTCTGACTTTTTCCTATTCCCAAAAATAAAGAGAACCTTAAAAGGCCGTCGTTTTGCGATGACATTAAAAGTGCATCGCTGAAAGAACTAAAGGCTATCCGAGTTTTAGAAGTGTTTCGAGTATTGAAGAAGAGCTGGCACATGTGCATAGTATCCAATGGGGACTATTTTGAAGGCGACATCATTGATGTAGACGAATAAATAAATATTTTTTTCAAAAAACGAAAATTTCCGATATTTTCTGAACACACCTCGTATGGTACCTATACTCTCTAAAAATGAATTATTCAAAAATGACTAATTTAATAGTTATAAGTGGCTGCTTTTTCACTTGTACCATGGTTAACCATAGGTATCCCAAAATTTAACAGCCAATTCATATGTAAAATTGTCCCCTAAATCCGAAAATTCTGTCAAAAATTATGAAAGTCGAGCAGTTTTTGAGATATAGTCAATTCCATATTAAATGGAAAATTGACTATATCTCAAAAACTGTTTTTAACTTTTGACGACATTTTCAGATTCAGGGTACAATTTTACATGAGAATTGGGTGTTAAATATGGGCTGTATTTATAGGCGCCATTATTGTTGCCTAGGGCAACAAATTGTCTTAATCCGGCCCTGTGTCTACTTAGATATCGTTAATTTTATTTTTTTTTAGTTTTACTACCTAGATGATTTTTTACCCTTTTAATAAATAAATCTGCAAGATTTTTGCTAAAAAGATATTTCAATGTTACACTGTCTTTCATTACAAAATAACATTAGGAAACACAATCCTTATCAATTCGTCCATAGCAACAAGCGGACATCATATCGGACGAAAAGTTGCAAAATTGCAAACGATGTTAAACAAAATGCCACAACTCAAAAGAACTTATATAAGCATCAAAAAATATCATATCAACAAAGTGGCAATTGGGGTCCTTAAGGTCAACGCCACAGTTTTAATTTTGTGTTCGTTTCTTATCTTGGTGGACGTTGTCCCGTCTTGGGACCGCCCCCCACTCGCCGCCAGGGGGCGAAATGCGCCGGCGCCAAACTCACTTAGCTCCTTTCGATGCACCCAAATTGCTCAGTCCAGTTCCGAC